AGTTACGAAAATTAACTTTTAATTTTCAGAAGTGTATCAGAGTTGTACCTTCAATCGTTCAGAAGTTATAGCTATGTTACTGTGGGCTTTTACCTGATTTTTCTAGCAATACCTGGAAAACAAAATCAGGTTTTTTGCTTTTTCTTTTTCAGAAAAAAAAACATTTTTCTGAATTTTTTTGGTACCTTTCTTTTTGGAAAACTTATGAGAAAGTTTCACAAAATAGATTAGAAAAACTTGTAACATGGAAATCGATGCATCTTCATCTTCTCTATCCAACAGTAGAAATCGCAAATCTCTTTTCTGTCTATCAGAAGTTATTCGAAAAATATCTATGGCTCTTCTTTTTTGAAACAGATAATAGTAAGTCTGTAGATAGAATTTGTTTATTAAAAGAAGACGTGTCGCACATTTAGAGTATGAGGTCTGTCATAATAATTACAAAAAAAGTAATATTTTTATTTTAAGTTGACGAAAAATCAAGAATTAAAGTGTTTGCTCTCTTTTTTTTTTATAAAATAATCTGATTTTAGTTGTTTGCCTCTTGCACATAAACCAATAGCTACAGCCGCAAACACACACCCACAAGCACATCCTCAATATCATATCAACTGATATACAACTGATTTACTACATTTCCTACTGTTGTGTGTATTGTCTAAATTCCGATGGAGTTCGAACAATTGTGGAAATTTGACAATATTATCGAAATTCCAGTTTGCCAAATTCCGTTTTACCATCTATTTGAACGATACACACCTCACTAATAAGAAATGATAAGGATGAAACTTATAAAAAAAAAAGGCACTTTCACTGACAAACTTCATGACTGTGTTTGATATATATACTTGGCAAAAAAAAATGTTTCTGTTTCAAGTATTATCATATATTATGAAATCTTCGTAAACTTTGTCTTTATTTGAGATGAAATTAAAAACTATACTAGTCGTTAGTTGTAATTAAATGATTGTTTAATTGAAATAATATATGAAATCAAAAATAAAAATCACATATATGTCTATTAGATGTTGTTATAGTTTAGATACGATAATGATTATGTGTCATGTAATTTAAGTGAATCTAATCTGTTTTTTGCCCATGAAATTCTATCATTTCCAAAAAATAGTTCACCACGTATAATAAATGTTGGTACACCAAATACACTATCTTGATCAGCTTCATTTTGTGCATTTAAATAATCTTGTTGACCTTGATTATTAGCAGAAGTTTGAAAATCTTGAGAAAGTTCATCAAGTGATAAATTTTTATTTGATGTTTCATAAAGAAGTTTAATAATTTCATCAATATTTTCAATATTTAATTGACGTTTAAAAAAAGTTCAAATGTACGATAAGCATATGGAAGAAAAAAATTATGTTTATTAGCATATTAACCACCCATTAATGAAAGCCGTGAATCAAATATACGCTGAGGTCCACGAATAATTAAACCATGTTCATTAGCAAAACGTCGAACATCCATATATCCATATCGAACTTTATTCCAATTAAGTTTATTTCGTTCTTGAAGATTTCCACCAAAATATTCTTCAACACGAAAAGGCCAGGGAATAAAACTTAATTGAATAGGATATTCTTTTTCTAATTGAAGTGCTGGTTCAAATGCTAGATAAGTATATGATGATTTAAAATCATAATAAATTTAATTATTTCACGAGTTTTCCAGTTGTATATGAACGAATAAATCTTATTGGAAACATTCTTGATTAAAATCTAAAAATAAAAAGACTCACTAATTTTCTTTCAACCATTATTCTATTACTTCAATTTTTCAAACAAAAGCAATACCAACGAAACAAAAAAACAAGTGTTTTGCTATTATCTAGGGTGTGGGTGTGGGTGTGGGTGTGGGGTGGGGTGAGGTGTGGGGTGTGGGTGTGTGTGTTCTTCTTCTTTAAACCCACACCCATACCCACACCCCACACCCACACTTACCCACACCTACACCCAGGTTGATGTCAGCATCGACTTGCGAGAGCAACATACGATAAACTGTAAAAGTAAAAAGAAATTCTTATATCATTTTATAATAAATGATCACATCATGATACGCTAGAGACTGTTGTTGCATCATTGAATGGTGTATGATAATAGGCTGCATTTGTTGGACCTTCTTCAGCAGAGAATAACATTGTAACTTATGCTACTTGAAAAGTAGATGGGTGAAAGAAGGAGATGTTTTCACTGTAAAAAATGTTAATGGTACGTAAAAGGCAAGAAAATGTTGCCGATTGAAAAGACAGGCGAGGAAAATGAGGCTGTGTGGATGTGGGTGTAGGTATCGATGTATGAATGATTGCTTACATCTACACCCACATCCACAGTCACGTACCCACAGCCATACACACTCATACCTGCTTCGGCGAACGGTGTTCGACGTATGATGCATAGTTACTTCATTGTGTTACATAAAATCATAATGTTGTTATTCGAAAGCAACTACGAGCAGCATTCAATCCTACAGTGAATAAGACAGCAAAAAATACTGACTCAGGTGAAGTGTTTGCCTCCTATGTGCTCTCTCTCTACACAGATGCTAAGCAACTATTTTTTTGACAATTTTTTCTGTTTTCTTCTACTTCCGACTGTTTGCTGATGTGAGAATAAATAAAAATTTCAAGTGACCTTCGATTCTTTTGCGAGCCACGAAAGAAAAAAGAATTTTTATGCTGAAAACAAATACAGTCAGTCACTTTTTAGTTTTCAATTTTGCCGGCAATACCGACTCGTAAGGTGCTGAATACTAATTGTGAGTAGACTTTTAAGTTACATAAAATCTGCTTTTTTATTGATCATTGTTCAACATTTTCTGAAAGCTATCTAGTAGAAAACAAGTTGAGATGCTGTCAGGCATCATAATTATTAATCAAAATATATATTTTATCGTTAAATGAAATTATCGTAATCGATAGCTAAGAACTCAAACTGAGTAAATCGAAGAGATTTCTACTAATATACTACGGCCAACTATCAGTTTCATACTGTAGAAAATTGAATACGCCGTAGACCGATACCAATTAGAAACTTCACTAGATTCTATAAAATATTATGGAACACATATTTGTAGCCAACACTTACAGGACTTCATCTAATATCCGTGTTTGACATCGTCAAGCTCAGAATTTTCTTTCTTATCACAACTCGATAAGGTCTATCATTTCATCCAAGACACATTCGCTTCGATATTAGATCGAGTGCGAAATCACAGATTCATTTGGTATTTATATATCCAAACGGAATTCCGTTCTGATATTCATTCTATTACCTATGCTGAACCTTTCTCAGGTTTTCTTAACAGCCGCTATCTGAAATTGTCTTCACAGGCTATTAGATCTTTTTATTGGAATCACCAGCATTTGGAGATAACACTCAGGTACTTCCTCAATGTATAATATATGTGGGTATAGTTTAGGAATACTTCAGTTGAGACGCGTCGGAATTCCAAGAGTTCACAATTCTTCAAGAACTCAGCACTGTTCATCTAACAATGAAGTGGAAATATCCAGCGCTACGAACTCTTGAAACTCTCAGAAGTCTCGAAACTCTTCGGACTCTAGCGTGTGGATGTGTGTGGGTATGGGTGAGCTGTAGTTGAAGGTGTTGTGCCCACGTGGGTGTGCATGTGAGTGCGTATTCTTTTGTCTTGTACACACATATTCATCTACCGAACGCACTCACACTCACCTACGCACAATGACACCCAAACCTACATCCACACCCAGTATATTAGGATGAGGACAAGGAGGAAAAAGCCGATTCCGTGTATCGGGGATACGGTGGCGATACAGCCGATACTTTCACGATACGTACCATATGCGCGATACATTGCAGATATTAAGGATACGGCTTGATTCAATCGAAAAAAATCGAAGTATATACGATGTATCTATGAAAGTACTCTTAGGTCCTCATGCCCTATTATTTGAAGGTACCCTTAGGTCATCATGTCCTATTATATGAAGGTACCCTTGGGTCCTCATGTCCTATTATTGAGGGCTGGCTACGGAACTTTATTTTGGAACCTTTACCATAGTTTCGGAACTATTGGAACTATGCCTTTCTCATTTTAACAGCTTCTTCACCTGACCTATGAAAGAACCATCGTTGCTTCCACCCACAGCCTCATCACCAACATCCACCATCACTCTTAACTATACATCCTAATCCTCACTCTCGACCACTCATCCTCACCCTCGCCATCAAGATCCACTCTCATCCGCAACTGCAGACCCTTAGATTCATCATCACCCTCAACTCAGTACATTTATCCTCACTCTCACCCTTAAAAATCTGTTAAAGCAAAGAAAAAAAGTTTCAATGGTTCCGAAACTATGGTAAAGGTTCCAAAAGAAAGTTTCATGGCCAGTGCTGAAGTTTGGACATGGGCTCTTATTACCATAAATGCTTTTTCATGCTGCCGTTAAGATTTACTTAGCATACAAGTACAAATGGGTCTTAAAACCAATAAGTCAAAGTTGCCATGTTTGTCGGAGAACTGTAGAAGTAGTTATGACGGCTTCGTAGAAAACAATAGGTGGTTACAAGTTCGTTTCGAACCGCGCACTATTGCATCGGCAATCTAATACGTTCTGTACACTGCGTTTCCCATTCAGCTATTTATCTACCCTGAATATTTGCGGGATCTAGCGATAGTAACAGAAAACAACGGCTAAAAACAATGTGCTCATGCGGAAACAGTCGAAAGAAAGGGATTAAAACGAACTTTCTATTAGACCTTTACCGAGGTAGTTCTGTCGGACGACTTCAACAGGGCAGCCTATGCACAGTTCCGACACCAAGAAGAGATATATCTTACTTATTGAGACAAAAATATTCAATGATTCGTTGACTTTACAGTTAGGGTCTACCATTTTGGAAAAATAGATAGTTCAGACTCCTGAGTGTTGTAATAGTTCAAATTGTAGCATCCCACATTGGCTTTGATTTTTAAGTCTGATGAACTCTTACATAATTCATACCAATTATAAGCAGCTTCTTAAGAAATCCTATTTTTCAGTGGAAGATCTATGCATATTGCTGCAAAAATTAATATTAAATTTTCATCATTTCGTTTTTGAGCTGTACATAATTTTCTCACAAAAAAGGTCTAACAGAACGGTATTATTCCATATGTAAAATCTTTTCAATATTTTCTTAGACAACTATGCTTTATTAATATGAACTGGTATATATATTTTCAACACTTGAAAAACATTAATTTTTCTATTGATAAAAAATATATACAAGGCAAAGAAACCAACGAGGGAACGACTCCAACTGATTTCGAGCTTTGGGCTTCATCTTTTGGCCATAGGTAGGCAGTAGTGTCCGAATTCCGTGAATTCAGAACTCTTTAGGAATTCTTGAACTCAAAAATTATATACCACGCACGGGCACTAAGAAACCACAACATTAGGTGGCGTAAAAAAACTACAGGATTCCAACGATCCCAATGAATTCAAGGGTCCCAAGAAATTCAAGGAACTCAAGGATCCTAGGGATTCTAAGGAATTCAAGGAGCCCAAGGAATCCAAGGACCTCAAGGAACCTAACGAATTCAAGAATCCAAAGGAACTCAAGGATCTTACAGAATTCAATGATCTCAAGGATCCTATTTGAGATATTGAAGATATTAGAGATATTGGAGATATTTGATATATTCGAGATATAGCAAACATTAGAGATATAGGAGCAGGATGGTGGATTGACCTTTGATTTATGATCCTTCCCTAGGCAACATACGCGAAGCAGTAGTAGCCACCAGGCTTTTTCTTATAGAAGATGTAAAAGATATATATCTCTACTCGCGTTGTCTCGAAAAAACCTAGAATCAGTCCTAAGATAGAAATCTGCCATAATAAAATGCCACCGATCACTCTATGACAAGGCACACATTCCATATATATGGAAAACTTGAAACTTGAATTCAGTCGAGTTTTCAAGTTTCAAGTTCCTAGGAGTTTCGACCGGACCGGCTGACGAACAAACTCACACACACATCATCGCAGCTGGTGTAAGTACTGCGAAAGGACTGGCCACACTATGACACACATCACAGAGCTGCTGCACTGTAAAAAAAATTCGTAGAATAGTAAACCCTAGCACTTTAGGAAAATTTTCCTAAACCCTTAAAGGGTTTATGCTAGTGTGTTAAACCGTTAAAGGATTTTTGTGCGAAAGGGTTTCTGAGAAAAAGGGTATTCAAAAATAAAAAAGGGTTTATGACTAGCGAAAAAGGGTTTATTATTCTACGGCCAAGGATCTATTGTTCCACTTTTCCATGAAAAGGATTTATCATTCTACGGCAAAGGGTTTATTGTTCTACGGTAAAGGGTTTATTGTTCTACTTTTTCATAAAAAGGGTTTATTATTCTATGGTCAAGGGTTCATTGTTTTACCTTTCTGTAAAAATAGTGTTTCATTATACTTTCGCGAAGTCATAACCGAAAGAAAAAGTCAATCACAGTTGATTATAATACAGATGCTGACTATCAAGATGGGTGTGGGTGTGGGTGTGGATGGGCGTAGGGTTGAGTGTGGGTGATGAAAAGAAAATTAACACTCACTCACACCCACACCCACTAACACTTACACCCAAATCCACCTCACACCCACCCACGGGCAAAAATTATTCGGACGGTCGTCTACATCTATCTTGTGGAGCACATCTCTCAATGAAGAAAACATCTTTTTTTGACTCTGATTACATCATTGGATAAGTTATCATCTTTACTTCCGCATCGAAATAGTTTTTTATCCATATGGTCTTCGAAAAGTTTTACAGAGTTCTCTGAGAAATGATCGCGTCCAACAGCAAAGAAATTCTTCGGACACTTGCATTTTTTTCTTTATTACAGCTCTATTTTGTATTGAAACATTTTGAACTATGTATCATTTGATAGAGAAAACATTTCTCTAGACGTTGATATGATCAAAAGTTGAGAAAGAAGCTAAGACGATGGCGAAAAATCTTGAATACCGGAA